ATGTAACTCAAGTTTAAATTCAAGATTCAAACTATGTTATGTGTATTGAGTGATGTGTATAATCTGTGTACATATATCATTTTTCTTCTTAGATTAGTACACAAACTATTTAATATGTTTGTCTAATGAGTGCTCCTAAAGGACTGATTATGTGTGCTGCAAGTATTAATGCTTTAGTTTTCTAGAGCAGATAAAATTAAGTTTTAAATTGTATACATATATAAGGGAGACTAATGTGAATATGTAGAGTGTAGATGGAATAGGGTGTATCAATTGCAATCCAATGTCTACCGCATAGATGGGATGGCTTGGGTTAACCATTACGGCCAGATAAATACTCGAGTAATATTCCCAAATATCTTACATATAGATGGTAAGCTTCGAAACGTACAAGTTATAATTACAGTACAAATAAGTTTTCTTTTTCTTTGTTTTTTTTTTTGTGTAAAGAAAAAACCATAGTGGGATATTCCATATTATTAGTTTCATGTTGTTAAAATATCGTATGGTTGTTCTTGGGTAATGGGAGGAAGTTTTCTGAAAAACCACAAAAAGACTTCATTTAAACTGAAGGCTGTTAGATTAATTACTTATTATGGCCTACATGATCACATAAATGGGAGGAAGTTTTCTGAAAAACCACAAAAAGACTTCATTTAAATTGAAGGCTGTTAGATTAATTACTTATTATGGCCTACATGATCACATAAATGTATAAGTAATAAAAGTCCCGCATACATTGAAGAACAAATACCGGATAGAATCAAAATATCATGACCAAAGTCACGTACCAAATTAATAAGTAACAAGATTCAATGACCAAATTCATGAATAAATGAATTTATCTATACATTTATGAAACTTTACATAAATAAATGTATATACATTTATGACTATGTATATACATCCCTGAAATAATTGATTAATGGTAAGATTTATCTTATCAAGTAGAAAGAATTAATGGGTCTTATTAATAATTAATAACGGGATGGATCACTTATACATCTATAAATAGGCTCTTGGTTCCTCTCTCCATTCAATGAGTTTGTGAGAATTATCCCATAACGAGAGCAAACATAAGAGAAAGTAGTAAAGAAAAGATCAAGACTTGAAACCATATAACTCCAAGTAGAGACATAATCAATGGCACAAGATATATCTTAATCCTCTTTGTTCATGCTTTGTAAGTCATGGTAGAAAATTTTAATCTTATTTTCTAACAAACTACTCTTCAATAGCTGCCCTGGCTGGAGCATCAACAAATCGTTATCGTCATTGTCCTAGCCAGGGTTCAAGTCGTTGCTATTGTGTTAGTCTGGGTTCGAGAACTGGTAGCCACACTTAAATACAACATTTAGAGCTTGTTGTGGCAAGCTGCATTGATTGGATGGTCCATGTCAAGTCAGCACAATGGTCTCAAAGGAGATGATGTGTCATGATGCGTCATCAATGAATCCCACATTTCAAGTCAATGATAGGGCAACTTTGATGATATGGCAAAGCCATGTCACCATGGGGCTTGCTTATAGTGAGATGGCAACACCACTTCATCTTAGGGACGTATAATAGATAGATGATGAATTATCTACTTTTATTGTAAGTCATTTGAAAAGTAACTAATGCCTTTCTTATGAATTAAATAGCAGTTGTATCCCTCTGATAAATTAGATTTCGACACCTAAATTTAAAATTTTTACAATGCCCTTTTCCAAAAAAAAAAAAAAACAGATATTATATTATAACAAGATTTTGAAACTCCATTTACCTATATATTTATAAACTTGATATATTTTATGATAAAATTTTATGTATTGCTCCCTCTCTTATCCCTGGCAACCCTCCTCCCCTAGGAGAGTGAAGGAAAAGAAGGAACGGAGAGGGACAATGGTGGCAGTGGAGGAGGGGAGGTGGTGGTGGATTGATAGGGTGTGAAGTATAGTGATTTTATATGTGTAACTTGTCAGTTAATTATGTTTTTAGTGCTTAATTTGAATGGAAACTGCCTAATTTGAATATTTGTCAGTTTCTATAGGAAAAATATGCAATCGAGTAAGGAACAAGTAAGATCCTGTGGATAGTCCGACTGATTAATAATTTAGTTTTTATCAGTAGGTTTCGTGATCGATCCCGTGTGTTATCTCGTTGTGCCTTAGAATAAGTCTCTACACGGTTTTAGGGATTTAAGTAAAAAAAAAAAAAAAAAGAATACCTTTAAGCAAAAAAAAAGTAGGGAACAATTGGCAAATGCGACAAAAGTGGGAAAAAGCCAAAGGGAAGTCCGATGCCAGATTTATTGCCAAATGTATCACCCCATTTCCACTGACACGAATCTCATATATCCAACATCTAGATCATAGATTTATGATGAAAATTTTTACCAAAAAGAATAATAAATAGATAAAAATTTTAAACACTAAGTCTTTTTTTTGGTGGGGGGGAGGGGGTTTCAACTGGAGGCCTAACTACCAATTACATAATAATAGCACAATCAAGGAAACATTCATAAAATTTGTTGATAATAGAGGCTTAGGAAATAAAGCGCCCCAAATTGCAAATTCAAACTCATCTTTTCTAGGAGATCAATGCAGGAATTGCCTTTTCACCAGTATTGAGAACGCTTGCATTGGCGGTTGCTACTTAGAAGTTCCCAATTTTCTAACATCAGGTTGAAAACTTATGATGAGCATCTGCATAATTGACAAGTTGAATGTTTATGTGAGTGTTCGACACAACTTCAATATGTTGAAATATAATTTTTAGTAAGTTGAATCAAACTAAATACTTAGCGTTGAAACTTTGTTCATATAATATATGAACAAAGCTTTTAATGACTCAAATCAAATTAAATATTTAGTGTTCCAACTTTATTCATATAATATATGAAAGGATCTTGAGCTCAATTCGAGTATTATTTATAATCGAACATCTTTTTAACTCAAACAAGTTGAACACGATCCTGTGAAAAATTCAATTCATTGAAAGTTCTATGTCAAGGTCCCAAATGCCATGCCAAAGTGCTTACAATTCAATTGCCAAGCTAGATGCATTCCCCGTGTTTCCGGTAAAACCCATTAGCCAATGTCGTTGATCATTTCGGAGAACGCCCCGCCACAGGCTACACCAAGCCAAGGTGTCCTAATTCCCAAAGCCAATCCATGAATGCTGAGTTTTAGCCCAACCTAGTTGACGAAAATTTCACCTTGGAAAAACATCCTTCTTTCTGGTTTGGATTGCTATTTTTAGAATTTTTTGTAGAAAAATGTGATGATTTGACATATATGAAATAAAAAAATAATATTCAAAAAAGCATAAAATTTTTCTGCTAAAACCCACAATCCAAACAAATTTTTAACTTTGAAGTCTGATGCCCAATCTCCAACAAATTTTCAACTATCAGGCCCAACCATGTAATGATGCAAATTCGAGATGGGCCTAGATGCGACTTCAGAAGGAATCTGAAACCTTCTTGAAGTACCGAATACTGTGTTTTCATTTCGGCCATTTCTTTTTCACTAGTCCATATTCATGGGACTAGGCCTGTCAACGGGCCGGGTCAGGGTCGGAATTCATTATTCCAGACCCCAGACCCGGCACACTATATCGGATCCGGATCCGACCCGTTTACTCGACGGGTCTTTTACTCTAGTTCCGGATCCGGATCCGGGTCTACTCGAAAAAAAACTAACAAAATTTATAATTCCTAACAAAAATGAGAAAAAAAACATATATTTATAAACTAATTTCTAACTAATACAAAAAAAATCAAATTAACCTTACTCAAATACATCACCTTAATCAAATTATATTGATTAGGATCCGGGTCCAATTATATTGATTACTCAAATACATCATCCTAATCAAATTATATTAATAAATATATATTTTAAATTATTAATCCATTTGTATTTGAATCCGGGTCCAATACGGGTCGGAATATTATATTCCGTATCCGACCCATTTTTTTGTTTGATAAAACGGATCCGGATCCGGGTCCGGATAACGGAATTAAATCCCTACCCATACCCGGATAAATTTGACGGATCCGGTCCGGGTACGGGTCTAGACCCGGACCGTTGACAGCCCTACATGGGACCAAAAAAAAAAAAGAGAAAGAAAAAAATCTCCATATTCACATTTTTTTTCATTGTTATTGCCACTCAATTATTCATCAATGTTCCCCTTCTTAATACTTATATACCATGTCAATTAGGTAACAATATCCCTATTCAATCTCCATTCATTTTTGCTATCAATTACTGCATTTCAACAACTATTTCGTTATGAGATTGTAATTGAAATTAAAATTTTAAGTATTTTGTTTATTCACATAAATAAAATGAAGGAATTATGATGTAAAATACGAGTATCTATAATCTAATTAAAATTGTTTTTTTAATCATTATTTATCAATGTTTTATCCAAATTTTTATTTACGACATCCATTAGGCAATAATATCCCTACTTGATCTTGCTATTTATTATTGCATTTTTAAAATAATAATATATTTAAAAAAATCAATTTATTTACCAAATTAGATCTTGTCATTTTTCTCTAAAAATTTTTTATCATTTTTATAAATTTTTTTATAAATTTTTTTATAAATTTTTTTATCTCACATATATCAAGTACATTTTGTTTACAAAAATTTAAATAAAGAAAAAACAATTCGAACGGAAGTGTTGAGAAGGTTCTCCAAGCCTACGAGCTTTGCCCATGCGCGGCTGTCAAGGATTTTTTTTAAAAAATAATTTCAGTAAAAGAAAATGATTTCTATCGTACCAAAAAAAAATCTATAAATGTGGTGGTGGCCAAATTTCCTAAATTAAATAAACAACCGACTTTGGGGCAATACGCGTAAGGAAATCTTAGCCCGAGTCCAACAAGGATAAGACCTCTTTTTAACCGTCCAGATCACGGGTGACCGCTTAATCCTAGCCGTTCATTCTCTTCCCAAGCATCTATAAATGCATCCCAATCCCCGCTTTCCTTTCCCGTAGCCTTTGCTTGCGTTTCGTTGTGTGGTAAGAAATCATCTGCTTTATCTTCATCGTGGGTTTTCTTTTGATTCTCCGGTTAGGCTTTCCCTAAATGAGATTTAATTGTTGTGGTTTTTTGTCTTAGCTGAAGGTCAGGATCTTCAGTTGATGATCATCGCTAGGTTCAATCGTTGCTTCTGTGGCTGTGATGATTTGATTAATTTGAAGCTTATTATCGCTAATTTTTTTGATGGCGACTTTTGAGATTTAATCATGGTTTTTTTTTGGCGGTATTTTGAAGGATTGAACGGGAAGGATACCAGTTTTTGCACTAGATTCGGTTTGTTTATGTGGTAATGTCTGCATCATTCCAATTATCGGACAAATTTGACATCAATTTTCCTTCAAAATTGGCCCTGTTTTGGTTCAAAATTAGCCCCATTTTGGTTCTTCTTGCTGTGCTTCTTGTAGAATGATGGATTTCGGGCGGATGCAGTGGGAAGGAACTCTCTGTTGGATGGATGTGAGCGTAATCTGAATCTGGAGTTTTTATTTAATCCATATCTGTGGCTGTTATTGTTGTTGCGAATGCTGTAGGCGGTGCTCTGGACTTTCGGTAGTTTTGGTGTGGTGTCTATCGAGGATTGATGAGGAAGATTGAGTTTTTACTATTGTTGGGTTTGTTAATTAGTAATTTCTCGATCGTTTTTTGTTATCAAGATTCGTCTTTTCTTTTTCTGGTTCTTTTGATGTTCTCGTTGTGGCGTGGCAGAATCCTAGTCTTCGGTGGGGCTAAAAAAGACTTTCTGGATGCGCATATTATACTACGACACCGGGAGTTTTTCCCTCGTCCCTTTTTCCGGTTTCCTTTTTTATTTCCTGAAAAAATTAACTGGGGAGTCAATTAGTAACTGGCCTTATCTGTTGTATTGATTTAGGGGAGCTTGGATGCAAGAGGGTCTGGTCATGTTACCCTGCTATACTGGTTTGCAAGATTCCTGAGAATTTTTCTGTCCTTACTTGTTTTCAGCTGTTCTGTTTGACTGGGAGGTTTCTGGCTATAGAAGCTGATTTGCTCTGTGAGACAGATGTCTTCGTTTTCTGATCTCCTGCATTACTTTGTGTTGTGCAATATAGGGTTTCAGTGGTTCGGAGTTGTTGTGACAACTGAGCCAGCCTTCCTCGGATGGTAAACTGTTTTGGAGGGAGTTATCTTCTTACAAACAATCTTGTGCTTTTGTCACCTTTTGATATCTGCAGACCTTTTTTTCCCAGGACAAACACCATTGAAATAGCTTTCAACCTCTTCATTCAATTTGCCTGCACCTATTTTGCTGCTTCTTCGTCAGTTATCTTTGCCCATTTGTTCTCTTTAGGCTTTTGAATTTATTTTGGTTCCATGCCTTCTGTATCTTTGGGAATGGTTCTCAGATGCTTAGGATTGTATCAATATGGCAATATGGATGTTGTCAAGTATTTCTTAGTTTTTAAATTCTGGTGCTTTTGATGTGATCTTAGAATGATGGAGTTCTGTGTATGAAAGTAAAAAGAGCTCTTCCTGGATGGATGGAAGCAAAAAGAGCTCTTCTTGGATGGATGAAGGTGATAAATCGGGAGTTCTCTTCTACCAATCAATTCTTTGTTTGTGTTCTTTGCCTAAAAATCACTGGCGATCGTTGGTAATGGCTTAACTATTGTCTTCATTTTAGGGAAGTTTGGATCAGAGCATTCTCATCATGTTTGTTACCCTGCTATTCGGGCTTAACAAGATTTTGGAGGACCTCTCTTTCCCTGCTTGTTTTCTGCTGTTTTGTTGAAGTTGATTAGGACGTTTGTGAATTTGCTCTGCTTGTTCTCTAATTTCCTATATTACTAGGGTGTTGCAACTTATTGTTCCAGTGAAGTGATTCGTGATTCAAACTTGCCTTTCCATCATCGGAACAAGGGCTTGTAAAATTTTTTGGAGGGAGTTATTTTCTGACCGACGCTAGTTGTTCTTTTGTGCTTGAGGAATTTAGGAGTTTTGACACCTTATTTATAATATATAATTTGTCTGTGAATCTTTTTGGTCTGCAGCATGTCATGCAGAGTCAACTTTCCTGATCCACTATGAATGAATAGAACGGGTTGTAACCAAGTGCATATCTTTGCTATTCAACAGTTTATTTCGGGAAAAACTGTCTATGAATGCTTTCAACCTACCTATTCAATTCACCTAAGGTTAGCATTTTTTTGGCTTTTGGATTTGATGGACTAGTTTAATCCGGGGCTTTTCTTTGGGGATGGTTCCGTGCTACTCAGTATATAACAGGAAGTAGATTCCGTCATCAAACATTCTTGTATGGGTGGGGGGTTCCTGGTATTTTGCTTATTCAGCTGGATCTGAAGAAGAGTTAAGGCTATGCATATTGGTTTGATCGAATGGTAAATTGTTGACAGTTTTTATTTGAGGATTATTCTCATCTTTGTGCCAAGTCTTCTGATCCATTCCTTTACTGAGGGTGGTGACGGAGCATGGGCTTTTGGATGCCATTCTTCTTAGAATTATGGGGTGCGATTCTTCTTGGAATTATGCAATGGATGTGAATGTGATCCTTAATTTTGCTTTCTGCTTTATTTTTGCATTGTTGTAGGCAGTTGTTCTGGTTTTTCAGCTGTCTCCCTATAGAGTTGATTGTAGAAGGACTTGACGCTAATTACTATGTTTTGTTGTTGGTGGTTTTTCAAGATTTGTCTTTTCTTCTTCTGGTTTTTTTGATGTCGTCTTTCAAGAATAGTGGATTTCTGGTGCGTGGAGGCTAGAAAAGCTCTCTCTTGGATGGATGTGAATAAAATTGGGAGATTTTCTTTTCAATATGGTCTTTCTTTGTTCTCTTTGCCTGAAAAAATCACGGGGGCGGTTGGTGATGGCTTCTGTCTGTTGTCTTGATTTTAGGGAAGCTTGTTGCAGGAGTGTTGGTGTGTTTAATACCCAGCTAACCGGATTTGTAACAAGATTTTGGATAAGCTCTCTCTTTCCCTACTCTTATGTTTTTTGGCTGTTTCTTTAAAAATGATTTTCTTTACTTGTTCTCTAATTTACTATATCATTTTGTGTCAAATCTAGGATTTTGGTGATTCAGAGGTGTGGCCAAAACTTAGGTCTCTGTCCTCAGATCAAAGGCTAGTACATTATTATAGAGGGGTTTATCTTCTTACCTATGCTTATCAATTTTTTTTTTTTGCTTGAGCATTTTACAGGTTTTAGTACGTTTTGATGTCTGCATACTATTATAAATATAATCTAATTTTTTTTGTAAATTTTTTCCTTCACAGTCCATCATGATTGTAGAAATGCCCTATGCATCATTTGTTTGGTCAGTAATTGCTTGGAAGTCGTGCATTTCTGACCCTCAAGGAAAAGGTATCGCTGGGATTATCCCAGCGATTAATGGTTGGACACCTTCGACCTGCCCATTCAATTCACATGCACCCATTTTGTTGCTTATCCCATGCCTTTTCTACCTCTGGCGAATGGTTTTCAGGTGCTTAGGATCTTACCAGTTTGGCGATTTTGATCTTCTGAAGTATTTCTTAGTGCTCAAATTCTGCCACTAAACATGTTTTTTTAAGGTAGTTTCTGGTGTTTTGGTGGTTCATCATGATCTGAAGTTTATGCTTGTTATATGAATGGTGTTGGTGTTATGGTAGGTGATCTAAATTTGTAAAAAGTTGGTATTATTGGTTCATTCCATTGTCAGTTCTCATCTTTGTGCCTAATTTCAAATTTTTGTTGGCTTTTTTGTGTTGCTTGCCGAACTCATGGTCAAAGGGAGGTCTGTGCGATGTGTCTCTTTGTGAATAAATTGGATGGGTTTGAACATAATGTAAAATCTGGAGCTTTTATTTGGACCTGCAGGTGGTGTATTTGTTGTTGCAATAGGTGGTGGTGCTAGAGGTGGTGGCTCTGAGTTTCCAGAAGTTTCTCTGTGGTGTTGATTAAGAATTGATCATGAAGGCCTACACTTTCTTGCAGTTTTGCAGTATGTTGAGTACTTTGTGAATGGTACTCTTTTTTTTTTTTTTTTTCTAAAGATTGTCTCTTCTTTTCTGGTTCTTTTGGTGTGGTGGTCTTAGAATGGAGGAGTTCTGCATGGGCAAAAAGAGCTCTCTTCTCTTGGATGGATGGATGTGGTAAATCAGGAGTTCTCTTGTTTGTTCTGTTTGCCTAAAAATCACTGGTGTTTATTGGTAATGGCTTCTCTCTGTTTTCTTCATTTTAGGATAGCTTGGATCAAAGCATTCTTATCATGTTTGCTACCGTGGTATTCTGGGTGAAAAAATTTTGGAGGAGCTCTCTCTTTCCCTACTTGTTTTCTGTTGTTTTCCTTGAAATTGATTGAGAGATCTCTGGATGGTAGATTTGCTGTCTCTTTTCTAATTTCCTATATTACTAGGGCTTCGGTGAAGTTGGTTCAACTTACCTCTCCATTTTCGGATTGAGGGCTAGTAAACTTTTTTGGAGGGAGTTATTTTCTCGCCTATACTAATTTATCTTTTGTGCATGAGGAATATAGGGGTTTTGACACTTTATTTATAATTTTTCTGTTAATCTTTACTTATACCGTCTCCATTATTTGGTCTGGCAGTAATTCCTGCAGAGTTGACTCTCTTGATCCATGAGAAATAGATTGAGGTATAACCAAGAGTGTCTCTGCTTATTGTCAACTTGTTTATTTCTAAACCATCTATGAATTGCCTTCTGTCCATTCAAATTCACCTAAGTTATCGTACCCAATTTTTCTTTTCTTGGCTTTCGTATTTTGATGGATTAGCTTAGTCCAGGACTTTTCTTTGGGGATGGCTCTGCAGTGCCTGGTATCTAACGGGAATTAAATTCTGTCATCTAACATGTCTGTATAGGTAGGGCTCTTTGGTGTCGCTGATTCATCATGGTCTGATGAAGAATGAATGCTACATTTATCAGTTCTGATAATATGGTAGATGATCTACAATTTTTATTTCATCTTTGTGCCAAGTTCAAGTCTCTGTTTGGCTATTCATGTTTTCACTCGCAGAATTCTGCTGAGGGTGGTGACTGACTGGGGGCTTTTGGATGTGTCGATTCTTAACAATTATTGGATGGATGTGAACGTAATCTGTAATCTGGAGTTTTGCTTTCTGTGTCATTGTTGCATTGCTATAGGCAGTTGCATTACTGTTTGCTTCGATCTTTGTGATGTTTCAAGATTTCGTTTCTTCTCTGGTTCTTTTGATGTCGTCTTTCAAGAATAGTGGACTTCTGGCGTGCGGAGGGTAGAAGGCTTTCTTTTGGATGGATGTGAATTAAATCGGGAGTTTTTCTTGCCAACGTGTTTGTTCTCTTTCCTGGAAAATTCACTGGGGGTACTTGGTGATGGTTGCTATCTGCTGTCTTGATTTTAGGGAAGCTTGAACCGGGAGTATTGGCCATGTTTGGTATCCTGCTATTTGGTTTTGTGATGAGATCTTGGATGAGCTTTTCTTTTTCCCTACTCTTTCTTTTTCTATTTTTTTGTTCATTTTCTTGAAAAATGATTTTCTTTCTGTGTGCTTTAATTTATTATATTATTTTGTGTTAGTGTCTAGGATTCCCATGACTTGGAGGTTTGGCGAAGACTTAAGGTCTCTATTGTCAGATCAAAGGCTAGTATATTGTTTTGGAGGGGGGCTGTCTTCTTACCTACTCTTCAGCGTCACGATCTAGCCACATGAAACCTCAGTCTGAACAGTCACCCCTATTGGATTTGCCTTAGATGAGGGCTAGCATTTGTGTGAATGCGAAGTCAGCACAGTAATATGAGGCACGGATCAAAATATGCGCAATGTCAGTCCCACGCAAAAAGATGTGGAAGAATGCTTTGATAGTTGCTGCAGTGAAAACCTGTTGTTTCCCGAGATGTAGAGAAGTATGTGAATTTTGCTTGTAGCATGGTGGCCTTACCATTCCTTTCTGCTTGAGGATGTTACGGGCTTTGGTACTTCTGATGTCTATAATTTAAATTTAATTTAAAATTTTGATGATCCCTTTCTTCTGCAGTCCACTATGTTTATGGAAATACCTTATGCATCAATCATTCTGGCAGTAATCACTTGGAAATCCATGTTCCTGATCCTCATTTAAGAGAGCAGCGATTTGCGTATCACTGCTTAATCCCAACTGTTAATTGTGCTGTGACCTGCCCATTTAATTCACTTGCACCTATTTTGCTTCCCCATTAATGTGCGATTAGCTTAATCCCAGGCACTTTCTTTCTTTGGGGATTGTTTTCTTGTAAGCTATCTAATTCTGCCATTGAACATGTATGTATAGCCGGTTCCTGGTGTTCATCATGATCTGAAAAGAATTAACATTATGCTTGGTATATTAATTAGTTTTGATGGTATGTATATAATCTAAATTTCTGGATGGTTGGGGACTAATGGACAGCTCTGATATTGGTTTCCATCTTGGTGTCGAGTTTTAAGTTGGGTTCTGATGTCCTGGTACTTCCTTGCAGAACTCTATAGTCCTAGCGAGAGGATTGTGAAGACAGAGAGGTCTCTTGGATGATGATGTTATTCAGATATCCACGATACTGTGGTTTGAATCATGGAATCTCTCCATTCCATCCTGTTATTGTGTTTGTCGAAAACATCACATGCATTAGTCAGGCTTTATAATTTGTTTAATTCTGCAGATTGGATTTAGAGTTTGGTCATGGTTTGATTCTTAAGTAACAGGTTCAAGATAAATGTTTTAGGCCTTATGGAATTGGGTAGCACGGTGGGATGATGTTTTTAGCTTTTGATGGATGAATTCTGAATTAGTCATGATGGTCGTTCAGCTATGCTGTTTTCAGCGTTTTTACTATTGAGTTCATGAGTAAGTATTCGAAAGGATAAAGGGTGCATAGAAATATTTGGTTTGTCATGTTCTTCAGGGTCCAGTACAAGTGTGTGGAAAATCCTGACATCAATTAGCGTCATCATCTGTCAAAACACTCTTTGTCGCTATTTGATGTTTTTGCTGTAGACTGACGGGGTGAATTATCAGAATTCGGGGATGCAAAGAAGAACTTTATTGGAGGGATGGGAAAATTTATGGTTCACCATGATCCTGATTGATTTTGCATATGCTGAATGTGATTGTTGCTGGGCTTATTATTGACTTATCTGGTTTCCATTTAGGGAGCTTGAATTCAAGAATCTCTGGTCATTTTGTTACCTTTTGTTACCTGGTATTGTGGTCTACATGATTTCAAAGGAGTTCCTCACTCGTGGTTGTGCCTGGTTTTCTTTGTACAGCACTGTTTTTTTTAAGTTATGGCATTCAATTTCAGGAAGAGCTGGGAGTTGAACTGGGATGAATGTTTTCAAGCCTGAATTTCTGCATTTACTAACCCATTCTGCTTGCATACTACTGATTGCCATGAAATCGAAACAGACATAGAGGTTTCTTATCCTGATCATTTGTAATGGATATGAGTGCAATTGCAGTGTCATTTTGTTTGTCCAGGTTTATTCATGACGGTGTCGTCAATATACTTTGAAGTTTGCAAATTCTGCTTCGATAGCATGAGAGGAGATTTGGTGGTGTCTAGCAAAATTTTGGATATTCTGTAGCAAGCATGCTTATTCCAGTGAATTTGAGATATCTTTACCTCAACCAGTTCTTGAGTTTAATATCCAGAAATTGGGATTTCTATTTCTGTTTCTCCTTTCAAGTCATATAGATTGTTGATGTGGCGCTTCCCAGTGTACCTGGAATTTGATTGACAACTTTGATATTATTTGAATGTGGAAAGAAACTTCTGATAATGGGGTGCGGCCTAAGATGTAACTCAGTATGGATTATGGTCATGGTCAAGTTGGTGGTATATTTCTTGCTTGTATCGTTCTTGGGCTTTTGGTGTGTTGTAACTGGCAAGTCCATTATTATAGAAGAGGGTCAGAAAACCGTAGTCCTCCTCTATCACCATTGAATACTTGCTGATAGCCTTCATTATCTACAATTGAATGGAAGAAAACATTTGGTTATTCTCACTTTGTAAGCAGATGCTGGTTCAGTCAGGTTAGAACAGATGCATTCAATATCTGTTTTGGTAGTCATAGACTTACATACCACTGGTACCGCTACTGGTATTGTTCAGTCATGTAAGGACAAATGCATCCAATATCTGTTTTCATAGTCATCAACTGACACGGGTACTGGTATTGTTTGTGAATTTCATTTCATACTTGAATTTTGGGATCCCCTGGTATTGTTAGTATGCAATTTTAAAGTGCAAGTAACTGAATTTTGTTTTGTTTCCTTTTTTAAAGGAAGAAGTTAGTGGACAATATTTGCTTATGACCTTAACAGACATGGTGTGGCATTAAGAGGTCCAATCTAAGATCTGCAGTAGTTGTATGCATTGCTGTTTTGGGAGGTGGTTAGAACCATTTGTAAATGATTGACAAATTGAGAGGAATCCAAATGCCTTGTTTTCAAGTATTGAAAATCATTAATTTCTTTGAAGTGCGTACGACTTTGAGGTTGATTTCGTTGGATTCTTGAAATGAAAGAGTTCCAGGGCAACTTAGTCATTTGTTGTTGTTGATTTACCTGTGCAGCTTAAGCCCCTTGAGTGTTATAGAATTGTCGCATAATATTTGTTTCACACACTGGTTGATCTCCTATTTGGAAGTTCATAACTGATGGTGATAACTTAGTTGATTTATCGGTTAAGTCCTGCAGTTATTCTAAGGGTGAGATTTGGTATGAAAATAAGTGAAGAAAGTGTGGGGGTAATCGTGGTATATGTTTGGCGAGTCGCTTTGTGATAATAGTGGTAAATTTAAGGTTGTCTAATGGGATTCAAGGCCGTGGACACACACCCACACACACACACCCCCTCCCGGGCCCCTCTTTCTTTCAAAAAAATAAAACCCAATATAAAAAAAGCTTATTATCAGGAAAAGGTGAGATTTGGTATGAAAACAAGTGAAGAAAGTGTGGTAATCGTGGTATATGTTTGGTGAGTCACTTGATTTGTGATATTAGTGGTAAATTTAAGGTTGTCTGATGGGATTCAAGGCCCACACACACACACACAAACCCAATCCCCCCCCCCCCCCCAACAAAAAAAACCCAAAAACTCAAAAAAAAAAAAAAGAGAGCGTATTATCAAGGAAAGGTGTGCTATTCGTGCGGTTCTTTTGTACTCTGGTATAGATTGCTGCAGATGACCAATGATTATTGATGCATAAGTTTATTTTGCTATTCGTGTTAAAACTGATTAATTGAGATTGCTGTGAGACGTTTGTAGCTTGCCTATTGGTGGGGATAGCTAGGTGATACCCTCGGCCTGTTGGTCTTTTTTGACCGCGCTGCATATGAGTTGGATTTTTCTTTGTTTTGTTGGAGATGCATCTGCGGCAGCACTTTCTTGTCTGTGGTTTTTGATTGCGGCTTGCTTGTATCCTTATGTTGTTTTGTTTGGTAGGATGCTTGTAATTCTGCCTGTCACATCAGACAGCCGGTCCCAAGCCCGGCAAAAAGAGGAGGGAAAGCATGATCTTATGTGAGATAGGTCATTACTAAATATTCATTACTATGGTTCTTCCAAGTCTTACTAATAGATTACAATGTCTTGCTGTTGTGTGATCTGGGAAATACTTGCTGATGTTCTCTCCTTGGAAGGATGTATTTTCCTCCTCTCTTCATTTGGTGGATTTGTGAATGGCTGGGGCTCCATTCATACGTACAATTTCTGCCTTTTTAGAGTTGGTGATCAGTACAGAATGTTTCAATGGCTTTGTTTTATCGGTCCGTTATCTTGTTAGATGGGTTATTTTTGAAAGGCTTAGGCGAGGCAAGAACTTGAAGCAATGGCTTGTGTTGTTTTCGTTGGGGGAAGTGAAAACCATTTTTAACTCCAAAGCCTGTATGGTGACATATAGTTTAGTTTCTAATGCAAATTACTATTTGTTTTTAGTCGAAACAATTTCTTCTTGGATGGTTCTTGAAGATCTATGTGGATGCGAATGCCTTTTTAAACATCTTATCTTCCATTCATGCTTTTATCTGGTCGTGTAAAGATGTTGGATCCCGTCTAATTTCTACAGAACGACCCCAAAAGAAAGTGGACGAATGTTGTACTAATGCAAATTACTATCTGGTTAGCAGACAAAATATATGATATGCCAGTCATCAAGTTGAAGACAATGCAGGTGGTTCATTTTTTCTGTTCTTTTATTTGAGAATATTTCAAACAAAATCCCTAACCAGAGAAATATTTGGTGTAAATTATTTAGGGAGTTTTTAAATTATTTTAGTTATATACTTTTAGCCCATGATATTTTATGTATCGGATTGGCTCTTCACAATAGAGAGCCTCAAATTTAACGTTTGAAATGGATCAATGAAGTAAAATTGGACCCACTTGATTTTGAGGAATCAAATTCAAATTTGAAATATATTATTGATCAAAATTTGACAATCGAAGTGGTCTAAACTTAATAGTTTTTTCTTATTTCATCTTGATGCGATTACTCAGGGGCACAAAGGTGCATGTAATGTCCAACTATTGTTGGGAGGTGAGAAAAATTTATGCACAATCACTTGAAAATTGAAATTTGTCGTCAAGTTTTGTTGTGCTCTATTTTTTTATTTTTTTGGTTAGAATGAGTCTTGGTGGTTATAGGATGAAATAAAACAAAGGAAAAGATTGGCCAACAGTCTTTTTCCTGGTTTCATGACATCATAATAGTTGTAGGCACTTAAATGTTGCATTATTCTTTTTTAGACACAAAATAAAATTCATTGCTAAACCTTCAATTACAACGTTCTGGTTGCATGTGCCAGATTATGGGCTTTCATTACTAAGGATCTTGCAACCTTAACCACCTGGATTACAGGGAAAGACTTGCACATATATAAGATGTCTTCTATTATAGAGTGAATATGTGAAGGACAATTCTCTGGTTTAGCTGGAGAATGAAGTAGCAGGAGAGAATCAGCTCTGACTTGAGCAGAATGGCAGGGGATGGTGCAAAGATGTTTAAGAGCCCGCAAACATGCTAGAACCTCAGTCTGCAAAGCTGTCAAAGCGTGAATTTGGATGGAATGCTGAAAGATCAATTTGCCAGTGTTATCTTCAACAACCCATGCTATGGCTGCATTATGCGTATGATCGCTTACTTGAAAGATTGCATTATTCGAATCTTAGGCAGCTCATGCTTTTCTTGTGTATGCCATTTTGCTCTTTTTCTTTTTTTATTATTTTTGTTTTTGTATTTGACTTATTTCGGAAGTTGTTTATTTGTTCGCATAATTTTACCAACATTGTGGTAGTGTCCTAATTTTTCATTTACAGGAACGCTACTATTGTCACACAAGATTTGTAGAAATCAGAGGTTTAGTATTACTAACAAAAGTATCCGATTGTTTAATTTCCTTCTCCTAGATTTTTTTGATGTGAGATAATATTTAAAGATAGTTTGTCTTCCATATTTTTTTGGGCATGCATACAGTTGCAAATCTGAAGTATTACACATTTTGGAGATATTTCTGAAATCTTTGAAAACGACTTCACTTTCTTAGTTTCGAATTTTTGTATGATAGGAAGGAGGATTGTCCGTTTACTCTTGTATCTTCATCTGTTGAATCTAATAAATGGTATTGAAAAATATTTAGATATTAAATAAAATTGTTAAAGCAATTGTGGTTGGTACAACCAAGCTCTATAATTACGGTCAATTTCTTAAGAAAGACCTCAGAAAGAAAAAAAAAATCTTAAAGACGATATAGTGCTTACGAATGAAATCTTTGAAAACAATTTTACTTTCTTAGGTTTGAATTTTTGAATGATAGGTCTCTTTTAATAATTATTGTTAATTAATCTAACATTATACCTAAAAAAAAGAATTTCTAAAATGATAGGAAGGAAAATTGTCCTTTTACTCCCATATCTTCATATGTTGAATCTTTTTTATTTCTTTTCCATATAATTAATGGTGTTGAAAAATATTGATATCAAACAAAATTGTTAAAACAATTGTGTTTGGTACAACCAAATTCTATGATTATTTTCGAGTTCTTAAGAAACAACTCAGAAAGGAAGAAAAAAATTCCAAAACCAGCAGGTTCATAAAAAATTGTTGGGTTTAGCAAGTTACCGGTTCGACCGTTCGGATCAAACGGTTCAAAGCAAGTTATCTGCAATTTCGATCCAATTATTAAATCAGTCTGGTTTCATGACAGATCCACCAGTTTGATCGGTTCAACCATCGGGTCGGACTGGATTTAATAACTATGACATAAAATGAAAGGATGTGTTTTGGTGAGGGTTCTGTAATGAAGGAATTTATCGGGAATTAAATTTTTTGTATCATGATTTTAAGAGTAATATTATCATATTTGAAAATTCACTAAAAGCTGCTGTATTTTCATTCATTTTCTGCCCAACTTTGGGTGGAAAGTTTTCAAAGAGATGGAGAGAAGTCAAATCTTTCCAAGTATTTTCTTTTCGCTCTCATTTTTACTCAAAACCTTTTCTTTCTATTTATTTCCTTCCTCCCAAACTAGCGGTAAAGGTACCCCTTCAGTTTTACATATTTCATAGTCTTTGTTCCTCGATCCAACTCTGAAGGTACCCAGAACTACAAGGATACAAGACTGGATTTTAAGTGTATCGTAATTCTAAAGTCGCTTAGCTTTTCACAGTTTCATGTCCTAAATCTAGTTCCGTCTATGACGGGAGGGAATCTACATATACTTGTCAATGTATTTATAATAGAATCACAAAATCAACTAACTAGCAAGACAGTATATTTTGCCAACATATGAATGGAGTTTGGTCTTGATATAGTTGGATGTACTGTAAATTAAAAAAAAATTAATAAGCAAACACGTTGTTTTAATGTATTCTGATGCCCTGGTAACAGGACTAAAAATCCTTGTGCAAACAATTTGAGCATTTTGACGGCTAATTCCTTAGATTATTCCGGAAAAAAAAATGTTGGCCAAACGTTGCTTTGACAAATGTATATTCTCATACTATATCTGCCGTACTGACTAAGTACGCCAGGGACCCGGCCAAGTAAGCACGGCAGCCACTAATGGCTGATAGCAACATTCGGACTAGGCTACGGAGTTGAGGCTACCTAATGTGCGTTTCAATAGATGAGTATTCTAGCTTAGTGATGATTGAGGTGTAAATATTTGTGTAATACTAATAGTGATAGCTGTTGGCGTAGTTGGAATGAGTACATTCCTTTGTATACACTTCCATTGCTGATCAATAAACATTCAATGTCACTTTAAAAAAAAAAAAACTTGGCAAATATAAAATTATATAGATTAATCTTTTATACACTAACAGTATATAGATTATCACTATTGGATGCATGACATCTTATATGAATTTAAATTTAAAATTCAAATTTTACTCATGTGTCATACATTCAATCGTGATAGTGTATATACTATCAGTGTATATAAGATTTACTCAAATTATATGTTTACAAGTTGAATCCATGTCACACTTTTTTTCTCTTTCTTGGATTTATTTACTTTTCTTAATTAATCTTATATTTCTAAAAATATAACACATGAAATATATTTTAACAAATGTCCAATGAACACCCATTAGAGAGATCCTTTGCAATGATATGTTTAAAATGAGTGGGTAATCAAAATTATACCCAATTTAATGATATTTAACCGCTAAATTTAAGGAACGAGCTTATGTTGGCGTTTAAAAAACGATATGTAAGGTTATGATTGAATTTAAAATTCACCTACGGAGTGCTTCCTTATTTATAGAAGTTGCACATTAGCTTTCATCATGGGTGAAGAGAGGAAATGTCTGATAACTTTTAAAATAGTAACTTTATATCCATTACAAAATCAAATACATAAAATTTGGTCCTAATTGAGGATTTCGGTCACTTTCTATCCTAAATCCATCACATGATCCACATATGATCATTTTTTTGGAGCAAAAAGATTAGATCCTATTTATAGACAAATAAATGATCCGATCCATATTAATTTTTACTCCTGAAAAAGTACTACATTATAAACAAATCATATTTGTTTTTCACTAAAAAAAGTGAGATCTAAACTTTTCGTACATAAAAATTGTTTGCATATGGGTCATATAGTGATTTCATGGTAAAAAGTGGTTGCAAATTTAGATTGGGATCAAATTTTTTGAACTAAATTTTGTAATGTATGTAAACTCAATATTTTAAAAATGAGGGATGAAAAAATTTATTTAACAAAATATAAGGGACGTTTTTAACAATTTTTTCTTAAATAACTATAAGGGTAATATACTTACAAGGAGACAATAAGTATACTTTTCCAACTTGTAATAGAAATTTTGTTACAAAGGAATGATCAGCAACGGAAGTGTATACAAAGGAATGTACTCATTCCAACTACGCCAACAGCCATCACTATTAGTATTACACAAATATTAACACCTCAATCATCAGTAAGTTAGAATACTCAGTATTGAATTGAAAAGGGATGTACAATCGGGCACTAAATAGATAAACATACTGAGTCTAAACACGAGAATAGTTTAGCGTTTATATGACATAATCACCTAAGATTTTAAAAGGTGCAATTAAAACTTGTGATGTGAGATTTAATTGGATACAATTTAGATGTATCTAAATATTTTTGTGTGCTACGTTCTTGGCATGTTGAGAAAATAACTGGATAATTAATTTAAATTCTGGATCAAAATTTGAAATCCTAGTCTTTTACCAATTGTTTTCTCAACTTTATTTTATTTGACTTGATTATTGATTTTATTTCTTAATTAGAAATTAAAATCCTTTCAATTTCAAATTTATTATTTTTGACAATAATTAAAATAGAAAAATTAACTCATCCCTGCGGGTTCAACCGCAAGAATATTCCAAGTGATTTATTAGTACAAATTGACTTTGTATACTTGCAAAATTTGTCGATTATCGGTGGTAGTGATAAGAAACTTTTAACAAATTTAAAAAATATCTCAATAAAATTTTAAATTTTAAAAAAAGACTCTAAAATACATATCCAAAAACACCTAATTCAAGTGGACTATTTACAATTAAAAGTTTTTCAAATACAATACTACAATAAAGTTTTTGAAAAACATCACTCAAAACATTTAATCCATAAGGACCCTAGATTTTTATTGTCAGTCCTATTTGGTCTAAACTTTAAAAGTGCCCGTCATTGGAATATATGAGATGTTTGTTTGGTAATGAAACGTATAATTTGTTTACAGCAAATGAATCCGATGGTCCATAAATTTTTACTGTTAATCCAATTTGATCTCAACTTTTGAAAGTGTCATAAGGTTTTTAAATTTTCCTTTCGGTTTTAATCCTTTTGGGCAAATATAAGAAATCTATTGATCAGAAAAGTAAAGTACACACAGAGGTTAGGCACCGCTAATAAAAGTCTTAAACACAGACAATTATTGACTAATGAATGCTAGAGGGACAAAAACAGGTTTGCTCTTTTTCCCACTCAACGCAACTTCCCAATTTTCTTTGTTCCAGGAATATTACGCAAAGAGTACTTTTCCATTTTTGGGGTACTTTAAGTATCATACACATGTATATGCAGCTGGAGTCTTGTAGGTTTGGTGTGTGAGAACATGAAAGGAAGTTTTGTCCTATGTTGGTGAGAACTTGCCTAATATTCTTTGGAAAAATTTTGGACACGAGACCAGAAGTCTTAAACTAAAAAGGCGGTGCAAGCTTGAACTAATTCATAAATGACGTTCATAGTTCATGCCAACAAAAAAGTATTTTCATATTTTCTGAAATATTTTAACTGTATAGTGCCCAATCGCTCAATTTTTTTATCGACACAATAAATTCTATTCTACACCTACTTCTACTTCATGTCAAGAAAAGAAAATCTAAAGAGGTCAAAGGAAAATCCGATGAACTACCACTAATTCAGATAGATGCCTCGTATTCGTTGACAAAATTTTCAAACAAACCTAAATATTAGAATGAATGTCAAGAGATTTAATCCTTGACTTATGTTCCAGTAAAGTTTTAAAACTTGGTAGCCAAAGAGTAGGTTCAATGAGGGATTCATTAGTTCTCCCGTTACCACATGTCAGTATAGACCTCGGGACCAAATGGGCCACTTATCATTGGGCGGCCATATAAGCCACAAGGTTTTCGGGAAAAATATCGTGCTGCTAGTTGACAGATGTACATTTTGTGCTGCTAGTTGAAGTCCCTGTGTCTATTATTATTTTTTATCATCGTCATTTTATTTATATTACTAGTATGGTTCTGGCCGTGCTACGCAGCGGCCCACCCACTGACATGATCAAAAAAAGTCTGTAACAATGAGGATAATTTGCTAAGGTTCAAGAAGTAAATAATATGCAAATGAAAACCATACATTACATAAATAAGTCATTCATGTCTTAGTAGAATACATATTTGAGTGCTTCATTGCCTATTGAGTTACAACAACTATTAATAGTCATATTAGGATCCATTACTTTTTAAGTCAAAAGAATAATGGATTATAATATAATTCAAAACACATTGTCTAAGCAATGAAGTCAGGCACCAAGGCAATGAACAAAAGATTTAACAAAAGTCCATAATGAGGGCATATCAGTCTTGCTTAGGCTTAGCTTTCTTTGCTGGGCTGTCTTTGATATTGCCAGCTTCTGTTGCACGTTTAGGAGGAGTGTCTGTCAGGAAAGCTTCATTTTGAGATGGACTTTCTGGAAACTCAAGGCTTCTTTTTGCACGTACAGAAAATGAAGACCATGAGGAGAACAGCAAGCAGACCTGGATGTATTGGAAGAAAGTAAGGAAGAAACCACAGTTCTGGGGGTAAAGGATTGTTGCCACTCCAGTCATAAGCCCCAAGTACCTAAATTAGAAAGATAAAAACACCTTACCACCAAACACTTCAACTAACTATTTTTAGTAATTCAATATACTTGTCTCGTGTTCAATTAGCCAATTGGTGAAAACATATAAGTAATTCTAGTGAATTTTGTCCAAAAAGTGAGATTACTTATATGTTTTCAACTAACTATTTTTAGTAATTCAATATACTTGTCTCGTGTTCAATTAGCCAATTGGTGAAAACATATAAGTAATTCTAGTGAATTTTGTCCAAAAAGTGAGATTACTTCGAAATTCTTTTTCATATTATTCCTAAAAAATTCATTTTAATAAACTTTTTATCTTTTTAAACAAATATCGTGTCACAAAAACTGTGCTAATGAAAGACTTATGTCATTGAATACCAAAAACGTGGACTACCACATGCACACTTCTTGCTAATTTTAAAGTCAAAATTCAAGTTGTATACCCCTGAAGAATATGATAAAATTGTCTGTGCTGAGATACCAAATAAAGAGAAAAATGAACATCTATATAATTTGGTCATTAAACATATGCTTCATGGACCATGTGGTTCACTTGATCCAACAAGTGTATGCATGAGAAAAAATGGAACTTGCAAGCACTACCTTAATAACCCAAACTATAATAACACTAAATTATCTAATTTTTCAATACATAAACAGCTAACAACATCATGCAGCATTTGAAATTAAAAAAGAGGGAAAAATAAACATAAGCTAATCCGAAAAATAACCATCATAGCATAACATCAAACACATGGAGGTCGTTAATTAACGGAAGGCAATAGACAGATGCAACAACAATGAAATTTAAAAATTGCAGTTCAAAATAGAAGGAGAGAAAATATAAACATACCTATATTTTCTTTGCTTGGCTGAAGGTTGGCAAAAGTCGGGCAACATTTGAAATCAATAAAAACAAAGAAAAAAAGTAAACATAAGTTAATCGATAAATTACCATCATAATCACTCTTTTATGCATAATATGAAACACATGACAGTGTCTAATTAACGGAAGTCAATGATAAACAGGAGGGAAGAACATTCAAACTAAAAAACTTGCAACTCAAAAATAGGAAGAGAGAAAATAGAAACATACCTAGATTTTGTTTGCTCCTCTTCTGAATACCGGCAAAAGTGGGAAACAAAGGTATATATAAGGCTGGAAATAGTAAGTTCTCAAAGCTGTACATGGATGATAACTCGGTACAGTAGCCATACCTAAAATGAGCTGTTTTTTGGGAGAAAAGAAGAATTCACGTGGATGAGGAGGATTTTTTGGAAGTGAATCGAAAGGAAGTACAATTAGTTGCTGGAGCAATTGGCAGAAAACTGAAAATTTTGCAGGCTCGCAGATTTTGGGGAAAAGAAATTTCAGTGACCTAATTTTTGGGGTAAAACAAAAATTCACGTGCGTGCGGAGGAATTTGTGGATTGCAATCAAAAGGAAGGACGATTAGTCGTTGAAGGAATTGGTTGAAAATTGAAGATTTTGCAGGCTCATATAGCTGGCTACTAATCGGCGGAAAGGAAGAGGCTACGCGACGCAAAGAAAGAGGAAGGAAAGTATGCTTAAATGAAGAAGAACTTCACTGACTAATAAGACCTTAATGGTGTTGACTAACCTACATTATCAGCATCAGTCATACTAACGGCAATAACACAGGAACATTAGTTCTAACGGGTATGACTCCGTTAATTTATATTATAATTAGGAATATTTAATAAATATAATATAATCCAAAACACCCCATGTGATAAAAGGACATCCAAATAGTCTACAACTATTTGCATTTGACCAGAGAAATATAATAGGAATAATTTCAAATAGACAAAAATAACCCTAAATAGTTAGCAACTATTTGAAGAGCTAGTTTTCATAAAAGGATTCAATTGACCTTTCTCACCAATTAAAAACCAAACAAAAGAATCAAATGAAAATAATTAAACTATTTTTACCAATTAGCCCCTAAATAGTAAGGAACTATTAGGCCTTTGAACTTGAATACCAAGGTTCAAATAGACATTTCACTCTCTTTAATGTCCAAAATAAAGAAATGAAATTTGTTTTCTCAAATGAGACCTTGACACTTGGCATCAATGGAGAACTTGAGTTGTTCTCTTATCTAGTTGGTAGATATTATATTATATTATTTTAATTTATCTAAAGAAAGGTCTAACTAAATTTACGGAAGACTGATGAGAACGGAATCATCATCGAACCAAATGAATATACTATCCATTCATATGAATTTTTTTAGAAAATCACATATTATAATAATTAATGAGAGACAAGATTTTTGAACTCTTGATCTCTCACTCTATCAGAATTCTGTTAAAGTGATTTGTCAAGAACAAGTGATAGTTTGCGTATGCATTTTAGCAACCTTTTATCATGAAAGTATCAAAATTTGAAACTAGATGGTAATCTTTTGTACAAAAGTTTATATGAAACTACTAACATTTGCCAAGTAATTGGTCCAAGAAAGACAAATTTTTGCAGTTCATGTCCGCTCATCTAGCTCAGTGTCTGAGTAAGCAATGACAGGATTAATAGCCTCAGTCATAAACTGAGTAAGCAAGCAATGCATTTACATTTTGATGAGAAAGTCTTTGATCCTCAGTGTTTTAGTATACTTTTGTGAAGAAAAACTTGAGCCCTTGCTCACACAGTGTAATTTCTCTATTAGTAGAAATAAAAATTTCTATCGTTTCAGGAAAAAAAAAATGTCCGCCCATCTTGCTAATTCAACAAAATCGACAAATCAATTCAACAACCTCGACGCGAAGCTGATTTATCAAAACCTCTCAACAAATCAAACAAAGCTATCTACAAATCAAATGAAAGGAGTGAAGTCAAATTAAAACAAAATTTGAAATGAACCTGCATATGAGCCGCCGACATTGAGGGTTTCTAATCTTGGCTTCCAGCGCAACGTTGGAGTCCAAAAGGGCAAGGACACAACTACTACCATTATGCATTGATGATAAGGTCAATTTTGTAAAACGAATTTCCTCGAACCTTGGTGGTGGGCACCAGCCAAAGGCTGGCCGTTGGGCTGGTGCTCAAGTTTCTGTCTTTATTAGGCGTCTTTTGGTCAACATTGTCTGCTACTAGTTGAAGTTATGGTTCATTACTCATTTAGCTCAGTGTCAAAGTTCAGACAACCACACTGATTGTGTTAGTAGCTGCTGCTGCTTCTGTGTCCTAGATTATGAAGTTAATTCAATGCTAGTGCAAGGATCTGCGATCATGGAGCATATGAGTTGAGCCCGAAAGTCTTTCACTTAGTATAAGAAGACAATAAGATTAAGGGGCATCATCACACACATATATATATTTTAATCAGTATTTTGACCTGTTTGATTTTTCGTGTTGCCTAAACCATTTTCTGCAATGGCTTCTGCATCCTTTCGTCTCAGTTTGTTTATATCTATGTTCTCAGTTTGTGTTTTGGCTCAAAATGATGGCAGTTTGGCTGTGGGTAGCACTCTAACTGCAAAAGAAGCATCCAGCTCGTGGCTCTCACCTTCGGGTGATTTTGCGTTTGGATTTCTTCATCTTCAAGAAAATGATAGGTTCTTGCTCTCTATATGGTATGACAAGATACCAGACAAAACTGTAGCCTGGTATGTGGATTCTCCAAGCAATCCGGTTCCACGAGGATCCTCTGTGGTGCTCGATGCCCAAACAGGTTTGGTGCTACGTGACCCTGGAGGGGTAACACTCTGGAGAACTGACGGCTTTTCTGGTGCAGTTAATCATGGTTTTATGAATGATACAGGCAATTTTATCCTTAAGGATATAAATTACACCTGGATATGGGAAAGTTTTGGATTTGCGAGTGATACAATATTGCCATTGCAAGAGCTGGTTTATGGAAGCGTTCTTAATTCCAGACAATCAGAAAGTAACTTCACGCGAGGAAGATTTTATCTGCGCTTTCTTGATGACGGGAATTTGGTTCTTCGGACAAATAGTTTGCCAAGTTCGGGTAATGATACTGAATATTACAACAGCCACACTTCTGATCCTAAAAATTCATCAGATCCTGTTTACCGAGTTATCTTTAACAGCACGGGGTCTTTGTATATGTTGAAAAAGAGCAACCAAACAATACAACTTAGTCCGCTCTCTGTACGCTCAGCCTCTGAATATTATTACAGGGCAAAACTAGATTTTGATGGAGTGTTCACTTATTATTCCCATCCTAGGAATTTCACTGGCAACTCAACCTGGACCGTCCTTTGGGCCGTGCCAGAAGATATATGTTCTGACTTGGATGGAGTTCCAGGCGGTGGGGCTTGTGGCAGCAACAGCATTTGCAGCCTTGTTGATAGAAAACCAGTTTGTGAGTGTCCAAAAGGGTATACACTGCTTGATCCATATGATAAGTATGGTAGCTGCATGCCAAATTTTAATCAAAGCTGTGGTGAAGTCGAGAAGCTCTCCGCAGAGGATCTATATGATACATGGGTGGCCAGTGACCTTTACTGGCCAAAATCTGACTACGAGGAAATAAGTCCATCTACTGAAACAGGTTGCAGAAAAGCATGCTTGGAGGATTGTTTATGTGCTGTTGCAATTTCGAGAAACAATAGCTGTTGGAAGAAGAAGCTGCCCCTCTCTAATGGGAGGATAGCCACAAACCTCAGTTCCAAAGTTTTCCTTAAGTATAGCAAAATTGATGTTGCTCCACAAAATCCATGTCTAGGAGGACCGAAGTCGAAGGACCGAGAAACTCTGGTACTTGTGGAGTCTGTGTTTCTTGGCAGCTCTTTGTTCCTTAACATCCTATTTATTGGAGCCGCTTGTTTTGGCTTTCAAGTCATCTATCAAAAGAGGAAGTCCAATTTTCATCTACATAACGAGGCTGTGGAAACAAATTTGCGTATTTTCTCATACAAAGAACTTGCAAAAGCTACAAATCATTTTGAGGAAGAATTGGGGAGGGGATCATTTGGAATTGTTTACAAAGGTGAGACAAACGTGAGTTTGACCAACAAGATTAATGTTGCAGTGAAGATGTTAGATAGAGTGGCTCGAGATGCAGAGAAGGAATTTCTTGCTGAAGTAAATTCAATTGGTCAGACAAACCACAAGCATTTGGTCCGCCTACTTGGAGCCTGTTATGAAAATCAGCACCGGTTGTTGGTGTACGAGTATATGCCGAATGGCACACTTGCAAGCCTCCTGTTCGGTGATACAATACCGAGCTGGAAACTAAGGACCCAAATTGCAACAGGGATTGCAAGGGGACTCGTATACCTACACGAAGAATGCAGTTCTCCGATGATCCACTGCGACATAAAGCCTCAGAACATACTCCTTGACGATTACTACAATGCTCGAATTTCTGACTTTGGATTGGCAAAACTTTTGCAGATTAATCAGAGTAGAACACTCACAAATATCAGAGGAACGAGGGGATATGTTGCTCCTGAATGGTTCAGGAACACTCAGATCACTTCTAAGGTTGATGTTTATAGCTTTGGTGTCCTGTTATTAGAGATCATATGTTGCCGAAGACATGTTGAGGATGTTGAGGTTGGCGAAGGAGGAAATTCAATCTTAACTGATTGGGTTTGGGACTGCTTCCAAGAAGGAAGGTTAGATGCTTTGGTAGAAAATGACTTTGAGGTTCTTGAGGATAGGAAGAAGCTACAAAAGTTTGTGATGATCGGTATTTGGTGCATCCAAGAAGACCCATCTCTCAGGCCTACAATGAGAAAGGTGAGCCATATGCTTGAAGGGATTGTGGAAGTTGTGGTGCCCCCTTGTCCCTCTCATTTCTTCTCTACTATCTGATACAATAGGTTCACTGATTATCTTTGCCCTGGATTGTCTATCTTTTTAAGCATTTATCTACTCTTTCATTGACAACTTGTATTAAATTTCACTGACGAGAGATCTTGTATTTTTTCCTAGAGCAATTTTCTGGATTGTCTTAGTTTTTTTGCATTTATCTACTCTTTCATTGATATGAAATGAATGTTTAACGTTTTAGCCGTTTTACCTGTAAATTATTGTCCAGTTAGAAGCCAAATACAACATTTCTTATTTTGAATATGCAGCTTCCCATATTTTTTTTTCCAAGTTCAGTAGTTTGCCCTACGATATCTGTTTTAAAATCCGTTTTGTTAAGTCCACTTGCTATCAAAGGGGAAAAAAAATGCAGTTCTAGTGTTTAATGTATAGCCCTGTATGGTTATTTTCAGTTAACTGAATTTCATCAATGTTTGAGAAAATCAGTCAATTGTCCTAAATTTGTTTCAAATTAGAAACATCGAGGACCAAATTTGGTTTTTCAAAACTTTAAGTACTAAATTTACACCAGACATCAAACATTAGGGACTAGATTTATTTTTGAGGAAAGTTTAAAAACTGAAATTGCACAAGTATCAAAAATTGAAGGACAAAATTGCTTTTCTTTCTGCTATCAAAATCACCTAAGACGCAGCACTAAAACCGTGCAATGACCACTTGTGAATATGTGTAGATTTATTTGTTGTTTTCTCACCAAGAATGGAGTTCTTCATTTCATGAAACTGTAAGATTATGAGAACGGACATGATTACATTATGAGAACCGACAATAAGCATAT